AGGGCTGCAGGGTGGGGAAGGAGCGGCTCGGCTCAACCTCCGCCGCGCACGGAGCTCCGGGCCGCCTCTGGTGTTGGCGGGCGCGGCCTAGGCGAGGGTTGGCGGTGGGAGCCCCCCGCGGCGGGCCGCTCCCTCCCGCGGGTCGGCTTCTGTAGCTGAGGTGAGACCGGTGCTGCTGCCCGCGCCTGTGCGTGGCTACTAGAGGCGGTCGCGGTCTCGCCGTGTTGGCCGTACGGTTCCGGGAGCTAGGGTCCTGGCTCTGCCTGTGGTGAAAGGGTCCCCTCCGGCAAGGAAGGGGCCGGTCATGTGGAAAAAACAGACCTTTTCCCCCGCCTCAGGCGTGAGAAGTAGAGCTGTGAATGTGTGGCGGCGTGTAGGAAATTCTGTTTTTACGTTTTGGCAGTGGCAAAACAGACTGCTGCAAAATAAGATAGGACCCATAAAAGCTAGTCTTACTTGCCATCACTGTCCAGTGTATGTAGCAACTGGGGTGTAAACCTTTTGAAAGAATGTTTATGTCAATGACTGTAGGCAGGGGAAACTCATTTTCTTACAAGGGGAAGCAAGAGAGGGACAAGGCATGTTATCGCAGATGAAGCTTTCGTAACTGCCTTAGGTCCTATTAGCTTAGACTGAGATTACTTTCTTTGCAATCTGTTTGCAACTGTCTGCGTAGAAATTTTTCTAAAAATCTCAGTCTTCTCTCTCTTTTTGCTATACTGTCTCAATAGCCTGAATATTTGGTAAAACTCTTCATGTAGTAGTGCAATTAAAAGAGGGAATTGTTGTGGTATGGAACGGATCAAGTTGACTTGGTTTTAGTGCATGGCCTGCAATGTAGAGTAGTAGGTGTTGTAACGGTAAGACATATGAGTGATGCTGGAAGGAGAGAGAACTTACTTCATTTCCATGTTCTCATGGTTTCAATCTACCATATTATGCATATAAAATAACTGGTAAGATTTTCACAGTGCTGCTAGGTATTATTACTATTTGTTAGAAATACTTAACAGGGAATGAACCTGTGGTGTTCAGAATCAGTAGCCAGCTAAAAGCTGATCAAAAATGTCTTTCAGTAGGAAGAATCCTTTCCCGTGGAGATGCCTGTATTTGCACACACATGATGTCATTAGCCACCTAAAATTAACATTGAAAACTGATTTAAAATAATTTTTAAAAACTATGCAGCAGCTATCAAGCTTTCTCAATAAGCCATGTTTTTATATTATATTAGTCAAAACCTAATGTAGTCATACTCAAACTTCATATAAAACTTTATTTGAAAGTTTTCCTGTTTACAGTTTTTAGAGGAATGCACTCAGTAGAAAATTAAGATCTTATTTACAAATCAATAGACAATAAACTGTAACGAGCAGTCTGCTTTTGCAGTGTAAGCAAGAATTTTAAGCTCATTTTAAAATGCAGCCCTAGCTGTGTGTTCACTACTTGGTATTTTTCTGATCTTTTGGCTCTTCCTTATGTTTTACTTTTGTAAGCAGTCTCATGAGAATACTTGTGTTCAGTTCAGCACTTCTGTGTTTTCTCTCTGTCCTTTATGTTTTTGTCTTTGTCTTCAACACTTTGTGTATCTGTGGAGTGTGAGATAAAGGGAGTGATCAAGCCCCACTTCTTTTCTTACCAAGATTTTTTTTCCCTCTCTGTCTTTTTTCCTATTCTGTTCTTTTGCAGAATTGTTAGTACCTGTGACATGGTACACCAAACTCAAGTGTGAAAGCACAAGGCAAAATTTCATATGGCAATCACTTCTATGCTGAAGCATTAAACTACTCTGAAGCTACTCCTGCTGGTACTGGATCTGTACATGATCACTATTCATGCAGTGAGTGAATTAGTAATCAAGAAGCATGGTGGGAGTACTTACTAACAGCAGAAAAGCAGGAATCTGTGGCAGAACTGCCCTTTGTTGAAAATTGTGGAAAGTTCTCTAGGTAAGTAATGGTGTAAAACTAGTGATGGTTTAGCCATTCTTGAATTTTATTGGGTTTGGTACACGTGTAGTTTTAAGAGGTATTAATCGACCATACTTCAATAACTTTTCTTTTTCTTCTTCATCCTTGTAGCACTTTTATTCAGTGATTAAATTCAAGACATGGGGCCAATGAAATATAAGTCAAGTGTGTCCTCCGTGTCCTGTGGTCTGCAATATCACCATTTGTTGATAAAGTGGAGTCCAAAAATGAATTTACACATAGTGCGGACTTACTGCTCATCAGCACCTAAGAGGCCTGAAGCCAAGTCTGCGATAGAAATGGCCATGGGTCTTCTTAATCGGCTGACAGAAGCTGGGACCATTATGGGAAAAAACTCCCTTCAAAAAATGTCTGCAACATGCAAGAGTTGGTGGGACAGATATGAAGAGTTTGTTGGAATTAATGAAGTTCGAGAGGCTCAGGGAAAAGTGACAGAGGTAAACATGGAGATAATGTGGAAATTTAAAAATTATGAGTTGAGCTATATGAAGTATAAACACTGGCTGTGAGGCAAAAAAGATCCTCCAAGGAGAATCATGTCTTTTTTGCTGCTTTGACTGTCTGTACAGATACTATGAATGTGTTCTAGTCTACGCATGTTAGTAAACACAGCTTATCCCTTAGATTGAAATGGAGCATGGTTTGTTTTGTTGTCCCCCCCCTCCACCCCCCAAATAAAATTCTTATAATTAGTGATTTAGATCTGTCTGGTAATAAGTCTCTAAAATACTCTTTCTTCTCAGGCTGAAAGTGTCTTTATGATAGCTCGAGGGATAGTACGAGAGGCTCGTGAAAATGTGGAAGCCCAACAGATTAAACTGAAGGAAATTCGGGACCGCTTAGACAGGGTCTCTCGGGATGACACCCAGTATTTAGAACTCGCTACTCTGGAACACAGGTTGCTGCAGGTAATTTGTTGGTACTTGAGCCCTGGCAAATATGATAAAAAGTTGTGTGCTTTGCTTCCATCACTAGTAACTGTTCTTGTAGATGCAGTTCAGTTCTGAAGTACAGTGATCTGAGTTAATTTCTTATGATACTTGTTTTAGTTAATTATTATTGACAGATTGATCTGCTATGCAAATTGTATATGTTAATGCTAAAATAGGGTAGTAAATTTGGAGAAGAAAGCTGAAGATAGTGAGCCTAGGAAATTAGTTGTTGTAGTGGTGACCTGTACATGAGTAGTCAACAAAAAGCTGGGATTCAATGAATTAACCTTCCATGTGATGAGAGAAGCTCCTTTCTGGTTGTTAATCCATGAAAACTCTCTCAGCTGCCTTCTGTGTGGCCACGACACCCAGGCAATTCATTAAAGCTTTTGTCAGAGAGCAGCAAGAATGAGGCTGCTCTGTAAGGGAGGGCAAGCAAGAAGATGAGGTTGACAGCAGTGCAGGCTGGGCAGTATCCTCACTAACAGGATGCAGTCCTACAGCACCACAGCTGGATGAGCCAAGCAGGGCTGGTGACAGAAACATGTTTATTAACAGTCCATCAATCGGAGATAAACAAAGTAGCAGCCAAAGTCAATGCAGGAAATCCAGATGAAACTGCAGGAACAGCAGGGAACAGGCCCGAAAGCAGGTATATCTATGGCAAAGCTCAAGCAAGGAGTGGGTACCAATGCCTGAGCTTAAACTAAGCTCCTGGATCAGTGGGTAGAACATCAGTAAAGAACTAGAGAGCTGTAGTTGTCTAAATAAGGGATCAGGTCTGTGTGGATGAGACCTAAAGAAGAACAGAGCTTCATGACTATGAAGAAAGGTAGAACTCAAGTCACTGCTGTCTGTAAGGGAGGGGTGCCATCTTACAAAAGAAATACACACTTGGAAGAATGAAAAGAGTTCTGGGAGATGCAGTTAGCTGACAAACAGGCTCACCACTACCAAAAGCAGCGATTCCTTTGCTAAAACAGTGGGATTTTACTGCAGGAAAAGAACCAGAAAACCTTCCACTATTTTGCTGAGATAAAATGGCTTACAAAAGGAAATGCCATCCTGAAGCCAGTGAGAAGGGAGAAAGGGAAGACATTTTGTCTGTGAGCAGGGTAAGAAAGAGAAGGTAGGGGAATAAGAAGTGTGTGTATTCATGAGATGAACCTATCTAAGACATCCTTTCCAGTCCTATTTTCAGTTCCCATTTAAGGGGTTTAGAACTGAAAGGAAGAAGTGTGGTAAAGGTAGTGTTTGGAGAAGTAAGCAGAGCTGAAAAAGTTAACATTATGGGGAGAGAAAGACTTTCCCCGCTCATACCCCTTTTCTTCATCAGCATGTGACAGATTCTTGTGTAGAGGATCGTCAGCTGTATTTCTTGACGACCTTTTCCATTTCTCAGTTTTGACTTAAAATGATGTCTTAAGCAGGATTAATAAAGAAAATCCCACATTAAAAGGAAAATTTCTGAAACACAATTAATGTATGTTTTTCATTTCCATTCCTTCATCTGCACTGGGGTTTGGGGGGGGGGGGGGGCAGTTAATATGGACTTTATAGCTTCATATTATACCTTCTCCCTCAAATCACTGTGTTTCTTGCAGGAAGAGAAGAGGTACCGAGCTGCGTATTTAAATGCAGAAGAATCCGAGAGAGAAAAATTCTCTCTCTTCTCTGCAGCTGTAAGGGAAAGCCATGAGAAAGAGCGAACAAGAGCTGAAAAAACAAAGAACTGGTCTATTATTGGTTCTGTACTAGGAGCCATTATAGGTGTTCTTGGTTCTACCTATGTTAATCGAGTAAGGCTGCAAGAACTAAAAGTCTTGGTGCTTGAAGCACAGAAGGGCCCAATAAATCTGCAAGAAGCCATCAAAGAACAGGCCTCCAGTCATTACTTACAGCAGAAGGATCTCAGTGACGTCATAGCCGACCTGAAAAATGTGCTGCAAACAAGGACATCACAGGAAATAAAAGAAGGCACTTTGTTAACTAGAGAAGACAGGAATAACTCCATAAAAATAGATTCTCTCTTAATTCCTTTAAACGAACAGCTAAACTACACTAAACAAGTCAGTTCATGTCTAGGGAGTTTACAACAGCAGTTTAACAGTTTGCAGGAAAGCATAGCACAAATGATTTCTGAAATGCAGAGTGTTAAACTTGCGGTTCATTCTAGACCTACAGAAAGAGTGATGCCAAGGTCTTCAGTGGAGGGTAAGGGCCAGGCTTCTGCCGTGAGAGATGTGATTTTAGAATTGTGTGATACCGAGCGGAGACTGGAAACACAAATCAAGAGAAATTCTATTTACAGCACTGCGGTGACATGCGCTGTGTTTGCTATTACTCTGCCCGTACTCTATATTATACTTAAAGGGAACTGATCTCTAATTAATTGCCACAATTTACTAGATTAATAAAAGTAAACTTGCACTCTAAGTACGTAAGAGTACGAGTCCAAATAAAGTTGTGTTAGCATTTCTCGTTATGCTTTCTCCTGTATATTTGGAAAACTTGTAAAGGCTTAGTCCATCTACAGCTGCAGGCTCCAGGTTTACAGTCTTTTACAGTCATGCCTTGTGGTTTTTAACTCTTCAAGCAAAGGAAATTCCACAGTTTCATCTGTTGATTTTATTCACTGGTTCACTCTTTTACTGTCTAGTCTTGTATATCATGCCAGTCAGTGACTTTCACTCTGGAGCTGTATTTGAGATTTTCTGTTCAAGTTATTCTTTTAATCTATCATTGATCCAAGTGCTTCATGTGTAATCCTTTATAATTTTTGTCCTTATTTCTTCATAGTTTTGCAATTTGTCCATACACAAAACATTACGAGTCATTTTACCAAACAGACAGAAATATTTGCCCTGAAGTTTTTGTTTTGTTTTGGTTTGGTTTTTTAATTCTAGATGCAGCGACTTGAAATGTGAAAAACAGCAGGGGCCATGTAAATAAGGATTGAAATTACTATGATACAATGTGGCTGTACAGCCAGATGATTCATTTAAAATACATTTAAGTTACATGTGGTAACTTTTTCCTAGGAATGTTTGAAGTATCCAAAAGCATTTCTGGAGCTTTAGCTATTTGTTACTAGTAGCTCCATGTCCTTAAAGGCTTACAGGCAGGGAAGAAGAGTTCAGATACAGAGATGTAGTAAGTGTGATGATGTTTATTCTGCAGATGCAAGCCAATTAACCTTTCTTTACAGACTTCTTAACCCATCATTCCCTATGTATTTTGTGGTTTTAGTAATCATCTATGGCGCAATCACTTTCTTCTCCTTACTAGTGTCTCATTGGAACTCTCCATTTTTTATTCTTCTTTCAATTTTGTCGTGTCTGGAAATGGCAATGCTACTGTACAGCAGGTGCTTTTAAGCTGGTATGTTAATGGTAATAGTGTTACACAAACTACTCCAAAATAATATTTGGAAAAAACTGAAAGGTCCAGCTGCCTTTTTTTCCGGGAAGGATGAAGAATGGCTGATTGAGGAAGAATGCTTGTCTAAACAGCTAAACGTCAGAATCTCTGTGTGGCCTAACACAAAGTTGTTGGTATCGCTGTGATAAATAGTTTTCTCCCTGTGATGGCAGTAGATAAGCAAATCAGATGTAGAACTCCTGCTCGATGAGCACTTCTGTGGAACCTTTGCAGACACAGGAGCGACAAGCTCACTTCATGGTGTAATGCCTTTGTGTAAGCATTTCAGAATGACTAAGTTGTGTTTAGTATACAGTCTGCTATGGGGTTTTTTTCTTCTCTGAGCTCTTTCTAGTTTCTTCTCAGTAACCATATTAAAAGAGTTTGAGGTTTTGATTATAAGCTCCTAAGACTTTAAGATCTTTGTGACAGGGACACTTGCTCTATGAAGCACCAGCTCCATTTGGTATCATTAGGTGCTATAATAACATGACTGAATAAACAAACAATATTAGGAAAGATCCATGATGATTCACTACTTGTAAGGGCGATGAAGTATGCAAAAAGTGGTTTGGGGAAGGACCACTGCTGATTTATATATTGATTGTTTGGAGTGTAAAGTGAATAACAACCATTTGTCAGGGAAGGTGTTTGATCTGATGCCTTGAGAACTGGGATGAAAATTCCCATACACTTAGCTGCATCAAGAAGTATACATACAGATCAATCCAATTTTTCAAACCTATAATACTTCTTTTTCTCATTTCACAAATATTTTTACAGGTTATACTTCTTGCAGGAGCTTGATGAAAATCAGAGGCAAGTGTGTAATTAAAGGGAAATGGGTAGTACAATGGTTCTGTTTGTAGTTTGCTGGCACTAGTCACTGAGAATTTTGTTCTGGTTTGGGTTTTTTTTTCCTTCAGTTTAACTACATAAAGGTAACACCCCCCCCATATATATACACAGATTATATATACATGAGCATGGTTTTAAAATGCTTCATGCTAGGCAGCTAAACTTGAAAGTTGAGGCAACACTCACTGAATTGTACTTGGTACAATGAGTAGAGGTCCAAGGCTAAACTTGTGTACAGTAAATAAGAGAATACAGAAACAAGGGTTGTGTATTGTTCTAAAGAGATCTGCTTTCTACCCATTTAAAAAAGGTAGTAGGTAGCTTTAACATTACCTAGAGTTTTGGGAAGAAAAAGTCAGTCAATGAGAATGGTAGCAAATAAATCAGTGATAAATAAGAGTTTGAAATAGGCAGCCTGAACTTTGAGAAGAGCTGGAAGGTGTGATATGTATCAAGATGAAAATAACTGGATCTCATTCTTTGTGGGGAGTTTAGAAGATTCAGGAGCAGGTTCTGTGTGCAGCATTGTACAGCTGGCAGAACTCATTGTTGCAAGTGATTCTCATTTCTGCTCTTCCTTGCTAAATCCTCGTATGTGAAGTGACAGCAGAATAATTTCAATTAGGAAAAAAACCCTTGTAATTAACTGTGTCTATATAATAATTAGGAGGGCAGATTTGTATATTCCCTCAATCCTGGATTAATCATCACTCCGTTGTGGCAATGATCTAAATGTGTAGTTTCGTGCTGTGCCGTATGTGTACCCCAAAGCCAGAAGGTGTGGCTGCAACTGTAACAGCTGTACCTGAGCTAGCTGAAGGCAATATCCAGGAAGACGCTGTAACATAAACTATACACTTAATCTGTTCAGTACTTTATGCTAAATCTTTGTCATGGTAACACAGGCAGCAAATACACAAGTTTGAACAAAGCCAGCACAGCTGTACAGAAGTGTTTGAGTGCTCACATTAGTTCAGGTACATTTGCAGTACCAACAGTGATTTACACAACATGCAGTGACATCTCAGTGTGTGTTTTGTAATGATTCAGCCACAGCTAAATAAATAGTTCATTGCCTGTGCTCTTCTAGGCTATTTTAGTTTTGGTTTTTTTTAAAGTCTTCTGTTGCATACCTGTGGATTATTAATATAATAGATAGTTGAGTTTCACTTTTGGAATGAGGTCTCTCAGCTGAAGCTTTCCTCAACAAGAAAGTTCTGCTTGCTAAGGCCTTTCGAGACTTAAATTCTTGGTCTTTCTGTGAGCATAGTCCTCTCTGGGCAGGATGGCTCAGCCAGCCCTGTGTCCCAAATGCTCATCGGCCAGGAGGGATGGTGGTTGCAATAGTTTGTACATGTCTAGTGAGGCCAGGGACTGACCTATGCATTGTGTATAGGTCAGAGAGAGCCAGTGCTGATTGAACTTAATTCCACTGTCAATCAAGACATGGAAGATAAATTAAAAGAAGCAACCTAGCAGGAGCGACAGGAAGCCCTTTGATATACATTAACTACAGAAAAATGGGTGGCAGTGGCCTGAGCTTGGCCCATGCTAAGCTATTTTGAGTTCTTACTGCTCCATGAGAAACCACTAGTAACTCAAAAGCAAACAGCCTAGTGGCTATGGAAATAACTTAATGAGGTCACTGCAGACTTCTAACAGTAGGTGCATTCTGAAGAGAAAAGTTGCCATTCCTTCCACTCATGAAAGGAATAGCAAATGTTGCCTATGAATACGGGACAAAAGCAATTATATGTAGTGTCAAAATCAGGATATATATATTTATTTATCAACATGAGTTTTGAATGTTCCAACATTCTAAGATCTTGGTGGGAAGTTGCAGGTGCTCCTGTTGATTTCATTGTAACTATCTGTTTGGAAAAGACAGTTTCTTTCACAGAATACCTTCCAGAAACATACTTCCCTCTTTATGGAGCTTAGGAGTGGTAGAGATGTCCTGTTTACTTCAGAAACAGGATTGAGATTTGCAGTAGGAGTGAGGTTTGTGAGCTAGGAACAGGGACACACTGCTGGGTTTGTCCCTAATATATTTAGAACTGTATTTTATTGCCAGATTTTTGCTGGCAAGTTATATTCGTGACCTTCCTCATAAGACATACAGAAGTGCCATTTCTGGTGTTTGCCAGTTGGTGGATAATCTAAGAAGATATGTGCTTAAATACAGCAAAAAAACAGCTGGACCACAGTTTTTATTTTTAAGAAAAATTAAGCCTTCGGGTAATTAATGGTTGTGGCAAGGTTTTGGAGTTTTCATCATGGGAAGTTTTTAAGAACAGTTTAGATAAACATCACTAGGTTTGATACAGATATAGACAGATCCTGTTGTGGGAGAGTCTATGGACAATTTGATGTCCTAGTCATCCTAGTGCACATTATCCTGTAGTACAAGTTATAGCAGAATGAGAAAGTGTTGTGCTGAGAAAATAATAGCTCCGTTTACTATGGCCCACGTGGTGTTAGGCACCAGGAGAGAGGGAGAGTGCATGTATGCACAGCTGTAATAAAGTATGACCCTAAAAGTATTGCCTTAATAATTATTTTTGAGAATCTAATTTGTAAGGTGACTTCTCGACCAATTTTGAAATACTATGCAAGGAGGTTTTTTTAAAGGCTGTTTTTAATAGAACTTGCACACTAAGCCTTTAAATGGCTGCAGCCTACACTGGCCTTTCTGTGAGTTTGCCTGAAGCAAGCTGGCCCACTAAAGATTATTCTATTTAAATACTGGCATATCATATACTTTCAGGAACTTCCCTGTGCTTCAAGACTTGTTTAAAAAAAAAAAAAAAAAAACCAAAAAAAACCCCCACATAATTTGTGTTGGTTCAGTGAGCTGATCACCCAACCCTCTGTATGAGTTTGGTGCATGTAATCTACTTCATCAAATACATCTAGTTCTTGCTCTTCGTGGATGTGATTGTGACAATCTCTGTGGCTGGAGCCCTCGCCTGTGACGTTGGAAAATGTGTTCATGGTGACATTGCACATGCCATGCATAAATGCTTTGGGCACAGTTCAGGCTGCACAGCCTGCAAGGCACATTCAAAAGCAGATCCCTAAACACCAATAGACTGCTGCTAGCAAAACTGTAGCTGCTCAATTGAGGGTAATGAACACCTTAATGCTGTTTCTAAATGTTCTGACAAACTGAAAACTTAAAAGGAACAGAGCCAGATTTTGAAGTAGGGTAGATGTAGTCAACCTTCTGTTGGTCCCTGAATTACTGCTCTAAATGCAGTGTATTCCCAGAAGCTATAGACAGTATTCAGATATCCCTCGTGACTTTCCTAACCCGTCTCATCCCCTACTTGGAGGGAAGGAAGTGTAAGAAGAAAATCAAAAGGAGCATAAGCAGCTGCTAGCCTTGTGATTATCATAATAGTTACATAAGAAACTTAGCTAACCTGCTTAGAACCAGACATGAACAAGGGCTTTTATAGAGGAGGATCCTTTATGGATTTAAACATATTTAAAAAAAAGCTTCTGAACAAATGGAAATCAAAAACTGTTTAAATTTTTTCCTCAATATGTTCATTCTTTGTGTGATGCTTTTTTCAGCTGTGTAATGTTTGAGAACTACCTTTTTCTCTAGTTTATTTTTAAGAACTGCAAAAGATTTTTGTGCAGACCAATCAAAACTTCTCCCTGAAGAGGGAATATGTAATCCCACGGTGGTTTTACAATATCCTTGTCACTCTGGAGGGCTGTAAGTACAGTAAGGGGGATAGGAGGGAGGCACTGTAATATCCTTCAAGTGCACAGAAGCTCTTCCTGCCCTGCTCCTGGGGCAGACCCTGCAGCCAGCTCCCTGTGCCAGCCCTGCCGTGGGACAGAAGGAAAAGCTGCTCTTTTCCAATGTGCTCTCATGGGGCTTTTTGCTGGTTTTTAAGTGAAGCTTGCAGGTGTTTTTTACCGGACGGAAGGCCCTGCAGGTTGGGACTGGCTCTGGAGGAAAGGCACAAAGGCGATTAGTGTTTTGAGTCAGGAATGGGTTGGAGCAAAGAAAAATTGTATTTAACTCTCTTAGTCACCAAAACTGGATTTTGGTGGAAGCAATTTGAGTGCAGTTAAAACGTCTCTGATTAGTGAGATGGTAATATTCTGTTCAGGAAGTTCTAACCTGAAGAGCAATTTAGTGGGTAGGATGTGGTAGTAGGATGGTTTTGTCTGTGTGGGAAGAGGAGCAA